ATCCAAACTCTTTCCTGGGAGGAAAAGCCTAGAAGTGCCACTTTTGTGTTCGTGGCTAGCTGGTCAGGGGACAGCAGCACACATGGTGCTGAGCGAGTTGTCTCAGACATGTCCATGCAAGGGAATGAATGTTTTGGCAAACTCAGGGATCCCCCCAGAGGGAGCGCTTCGGCTACCCAGCCACACGGTGAAACGTTGGAGAAAACTGACAGGGACTCTGTGGAAGCCTTGGACCGGCCCGCTTGATTTCAGTTCGGAGCAACATGGGCCAGGGAGATTAGATCACGGCAGGCACCTGGCCTGGGCTCGCTGCAGCAGAGATCAGAGAGGTCTTTGAGGACTAAGAGACATTCTTTGCTGGGCCTTGAAGGATTTCCCCAGAGAAGAACCAGTCATGGAAATAAATAAGTTCAGATAGTATAGGAGGACCCAGAGTCTCGCAGTTCATCTGGAGCACGTTACCGTTCCTTGAATTCCCGTTCAGCAGATGAAGTAGCTGAGGATCCGAGAGGCGAAGTGACTCTCCCGGACCCCATGCTAGTGAGTGGCACACTTGGAACTCACACCTGGGTCTCCCTCTCGAGTGTGGTCTGTCACCTCCTGCCACCTCTCTCCCTGCGATCCCAGGGTCCCTGGAGTCCTCCTCTTTTGGGCCCCTCCAGACCGAGGGTCACATCCAGCCTCCCGTGGCAGAGCCTTGTTCATGTCTCTGCCCTGAATGCTCAGGAGGATGCCTGGACCAGAGAAGGGGTTTAATAAATAGCTACTGAAGTCATAGCTTTCCCTTGAAAGGGGGAGTGAATTCATCCCAAAATCCTAGGGGAAGAGGGAAGGGAAGCACAGAATAATTTAAGTGCTTAATAGGTGCCACTCACAGGTTTTTCTCTTTCTGCTTTTTAAAAAATAATTAAATAATATAGTCAATCAGTAGCATAATAAACACCTATAAACTCACCCCCCAGCATGAGGGTCGCCCGCATCTACCTGTGAGTCCTCATCCCCCTTTCCCTGTCTCTCCCCTCCAGACGTGACCTGTCCTGCACCCTGAGTTTATCATTACCTTGTTTAGAGCTGCAATCCTAGAAAACAAAGTGTTTGATTGCAGTTGCTTTTATTACAAGAGTATCACACTGCGTTTCATCTTCTGGGACTTGCCTTTTTAATCCCTATCCTACTGTGGTGAGGTTCCTCTAGGTAGTTGTATGTATAATTGTAACTGTAATTGTATGCCACTCATTTGACTGCTGTCCATACAACACAATCGGTCTATCTGTCCTCTGTGTGCCAGGCTCAATGCACACTCTCTCATTTACTCTCTCTAGCACCACTTTCAACTCCTGCTCAGAGTGGCTCAAACTATCCTTTCATAATCTCTATGTTAAAGATGAAATGGAGGGTTAGAAAACTCGGGTGACTTTCCTGAGGTTACATAGCACATGAATGGTGAAGTCTGAACTGGGCCCAAGAGCCAGGGCCTTCTTTTAAGAGGAGGGAAGCACTGGCTGCCCTGGCCTTTCCTACCTCAGCTCAGTAGAGCTGTGAGGCAACAGTCTTCCCTCTCTCTATTGTTCTTTTCATGACCGTCCAGTGCACCACGTGATTATGGAAATGTTCTGAGGGCCCCAGCTCCGATTTAGCCAGCCTAGTCGCTGTATGAGGGCCCTAGGTCTTCTGGAGCTGTCCTGAGCTCCGTTACTCTATAAGGACCTGGGCACCGGGCTGGATGGGCCCGCTTGATGGAAGAAAGGAGAAATGGAGAGTCCACGTGCAAGCTTAGGGGGAGCTGGTGGAGCTGGGCTGTTGACTGAGCTGCTCCTTTCTCAGGCCACTGTTTGGTCTAAACTCTGGATGTCTTTGCTCAGTGAGGTTTGGAGTTCACTCTGCACAGCTGACAGCCCAAGTCACAGCTTAAAAACAAGGGTGGGGATGCAGGTCTGCAGCTCATGAAACAGGCCACCTCCAAGGCCTGAGTCATCCCTGTCACACTAAGACTGGGCCTTGGTGGTGTCAGTTCAGGGGGTTAAATGGACACAAGGCTCAGCGCTTAGTCCTAGTTCCCTGGGCATCACTGACCTTAAGCATTGCTCAGACCTGGGGAGGCATGAGCCAGTCTGTAGGAGGAAGAGGGCAGGGCCCTTCTGCTCCACCAACTTTTATAAGGCCCAGGAATGTTATTTGTTGGTGACCACCCAACCATCTCGCCCACAAATGGAGCACTCTGTAGCTGACCTCTTAATGTGAAACAGCATGCGAAGAGATGAGCTAAGAGGTAGGGTCTGGTTCTGCACATTTATCTCTGGTTATTAGACACTTTTAGAGGGAACATCTGTTTGTCCACTCTGGCTCCCATATTGCAGGCCCCAATCTCTGACTGAATGGGGACTAAGTCATAAATTAGAGCCAGAAGTGGGACCTCGAATAGGACATCAGAAGGGGCTTTGCTTGACTCACCAAAAACGGGGAATTGGGCTCCTAAACTGACCAGCCTCAAGAGAAAAGCAGAAGAAAATGGGGATAGCTAGAAAGGTGCCTGGTGGGACCCAGTCCCATCGGATCCATTTCATGTAAGTTTACCCTGGGGACAGCGTCGCTACTCTAGGCAGGACCTGGGAGTCAAACCAAAGCACACAGCTTGATCATGATTCTGAAGTTTCAGGCACCTGGGCTGGGCTTCTTTGTTTGATTTCTCCTTTGGTTTAAAATATTGGATGTTTGTTTTATAGGAAGAATATCTGTTGTTTATAGCAGGACATTCCCCATCACCTCACGGTATGTTCCTTCAGGGATGTACATCACTCTCAGGATAATAGACCCATTAACTACACAAAAAGAGAACCTCTTTGTTGTCTTGTTAAGTTTCTAAAGATACTTATAAGGACATAAAATTAATATAATAATTAAAATTCTCGTTCATCCCTATTCCTTCAGATGTTGTTTCTCTAGTTCACATTGCTAATTTGCTGGCTACATATTTCTCTGCTTGGACATGTCACTGCAAAGTGAAACTCACTCTGTGATCCCATGGGCCCACTGCAGCTGCCTTATACTCTTACCCTCCCCTCCGACACATACCTCCTTTTTCTACTGATGCCCCATAACCTTTGAAACTACACAGGTTCAAAATGTCCTAACTCTGAAGTCAGCTCTGCCCATCCTGCTTCCTTGCTCTTCCTCTCTCCCCTGCAACCCCTCCAGTTCTTGGCCCCAGTGACTTACCAAGGCAGTTCTTGCACCTATCTTTGTGTTTGAATAATTAGCCACCTGATTCTGTCAATTCTGCCTTCCTGACCTACTTTTTCCCTACTCCTCCCACCATTCCTGACATCAAGGACCTGAGGAGCTTGTCATCTTTTACTTGGACCCTGGTACAGCCTCATATCCAGAGTCATCCTCAGTTATGTGGGCCATTATATATGTGGCCATATTGGTTTCCCTGAATCACAACTCACATCACTCTTCTGCTAAAAGACTTTCATTGGCTCCCCTTCTTCAGCAAAGAGTGTGCCACCTTTTCACTCTGACATTCGAGGCCTTCGCAATATTGCAAACCTGCCTTTCCAATACTGTTTCCCTGCTACTTTTCCTGTGCTCTAGCCAAACTGAACAATTCAGTGTGCTTGAAACACACCCACCTATCTTTCTTCATTTCTGTTTCTCCTCTTCCTAGACTTCCCTTTCTCCCTTATCTGCTTATCAAAGTCTATGTATCTTCAAGATCCACTTCAATCTTTTCCATAAAAACTTTCTGATTTACAACCTTTCCTGTTTTAATCTCTCGTAGTACTTTGTTTATGCCCATTATGAGACAATATGTTCTACCTTTGAAAGGCAGATGGGCAGACAGACATGTAGGAACTGCACCTTACTTACCTTTGTCTCCTCTAAGGAGCCTTTTCATGGTGCTTAACATACAGAGGCATTTCACAAATGTTTATTGAACTGGATAGGAATCCCTGCCTTCATTCTTTCTCTTTGCCATCTCATTTCATCTAATAATAATGTCACTTTGTTTCAACATAACATTAAATGTTACAAAACTCACATATATTATTTCAACTAATTTTCATGAATCCTGCAAGGCAGGCAGGATAGATATTATCCTCATTTTAGAGGTAAGAGAACTGAGGCTCACAGCAAGGAAATAAGTTACCCAAATTAAAAGCAAATAAGGAATGTAGCCATTAACTGAACCTAGAGAAGTATCCTGATATGCAGTAGAAGACCAAAGAAGGGACCAAGCAAAATCTAAGCCCTCTCAAGGGTCCTTTCTTCTTCTATCTTTATTCAGAATGATGAAGACCTTCTAAGCCAGTCCAGGGGCACCTTGTATGGGGGACACCAGTCAAGGAGCTGGGCAGAGGGTACTGTGTGATCATATGATCATTTTTAATTTAGGGCTATTTTTCCCTCTTCTCAGCCCCAGATACAGATATCATCACATGAGCACTGGAAATGTTGGACTCCCTCTTCTCCTACAAATTAAGCCATAATTCAGGGCCTCCTTTCTATTACTGAAGAGTTCAGAAACCCTTGCTGAACTGTGCCTGGAATCACTCATGTGGATCTGGGTCCAGTTTTTCCCCTTCTCTCATCCTCAGAACTGACCCCTCATTTATCCATCCATCCATCCATCCATCCATCCATCCATCCATCATCTAACAGACTTTCCTTGAGTACCAGCTCCATGCACTACCATGCATTCTGCCTCCCCAAGCTCTTTCGGGCCCACACAAACTAGATGCTCCTCAGGATCAAATGATGTGCAAGTCTTTGTGAGTACTTTCCCCTTCTCACATGGCAAACACAATCCCTAAGATCAATTACCTCTTTTTGTTAGGTGGCAAAATATTTCCCTCCACAAACTCTCCCTTTCCCCCTTTATTGTGTCACTTAGATCACAGTACATGTTCTTCTGGAGACTTTGAAATGCCACGACATTTACATCAATACCCTCCTTTCACTGTCTTTCAATATGAATGAACTGCACTGAGTGGGAATGGTACACAGTAAAGACTCCATTTATTGGTCCCCCCTCCCCACAAGTTTAACAAAATAACTAAGATCCTGAATTTCTCTGACTTGTAGAAAATGTCATCCCCGCTGAGTTCAGAGACTTTCAGAGCCCCTATGCCAGCCTCGATGCAGGTTCAATTCATGTGTGTTTCTGCTCATAGTCAGCTGCCTGTTGCAGGGCTAGCTCAGTAAATACAGCTTGATTTTTTTCCCTACCATGTGAAGGTTTAATTGGAAAAGAATAAATGAAGATTGCTTTTTAAATTAGAGGGTGACAGTAAGTTCTCCCGGAGCAAGCTTTATGTAGGGGCTCATAGCTGTGGTTGATTGCAGCTTTTTCAGTAACTCAGTGATGTATCTCAGAAACATGTGGTAGTTTTGAATGGACAGGTCAATCAATCTTTCGGACTCAGCAATGAATTTTTCATAGTAATCAGAGACTTGGTCTGAGAAATCCTGCAGTTTATATCTAAACTGCTGGTGGTAATCAGAAATGATTTCCTTCATTGCAACAGTCAAGCTTTTAATTATTTCCTGAGCAGTGGCAGAAAGCTCTGCAATCTTCTCTTTCCCCTTTCCATCTGCATCAGTAAGGATACTAAGATATTCCTGGACAGCTCTGTACATACTTTGCTTAACTTGACCTGAGAGCTGGGAAACAAAGCCAGCAGCACTGACAGTATATTTGGAATGGAAGTCCTTAAGGGCGAGTACTAGGTTCTTGATCAGGTTGACTATCTTTTTTTCAAGTTCATAATATTTCACTGTCCAGCCGACTACACTTGAATCAAAATATTCTTCACGAAGAGCCTTTATGTACTGCTGGATCTGCTGTAACTCTTGGGAAGTTTCCTCAAGTTTGTTTTGAACAAGTTCATGGAACTTAACAAAGTCAAGGTATATGATTTCTTTCAGGAATCCAAAAGCATATGGAATATGTTTGTTGAAGATTGTGTTGATTTCCTGTTGAATATCATTAGTGAGATAAGTAAATTTCTTCTTTAAATGTTTAATTTTTCCTTCTATCTCTTGGAAAACTCTTTGTAAAATGTCCTGAAGATCACTTAGCATCTTTGTGATCTTGACAGACTGGAGGTCATTCAATGCCTTTTGGACATCTTGTGATGAAGATTTTAACAATTTTCTACACCCCAGGATTATATCTATTAGATCATATCTCCTTAAAACAAAGGGAAATTTAATCTTTAGGTCCTTGATTAATTCGGATTTCTCCACTAGGTCTTGGAAATAGGACAGCAGTATTTCTAACCCATTATGGACATTTAAATGTATCCGGGACAGTACCTCCACTACTTCCCTCATGGCCATAGTGCCGAGTTCATCTCTAGTGTACATCCCAGCTTTCCCTGGGAGCTGGAATCTGGTGGAGTTCAGGAAAGTAATGAATGAGTCAATCAGACGTTGGACTGTCATACGGTATTCTTGAGTAATTCGTAATAAACTGTCAAACACGTTAGCCTTGAGGTACAAAGTCTGGACCTTGTCCTTCCACTCCTGGTAGGTTTCAGTGGCGTCATTGGCTACTTTCCAGAGCTGTGTGTCCATCTTATCAATTTGTCTCATAGCCCCTTGATAGGCCCACTCAGCTTTGTTCTGCAGACTTCTTCTTGCCTTGGAAGAAGCATCTTTCAGGGTGAGTCCCGTGTGCTCCTGGTGGTACTTGTTGACATAGTTATAAAGGGCCCCTGTGGCCTTGGGCACTTTGTCTTTCAGGGAGGTTAGCAATCTAGAAGGTGCCCCTTCTTCCCAATTAACTTTGATCTGAATTTCCTCATTGGATTCCTGGTACCTCAACTCAGTTTTGAATATGGTGAATTTTTTATCTGGAGAGGACTGAATCCAGTTAAAAAAAAAAAGATGAAAAGAACATGATGTTTTCAATTACCCTGATTACATAATATACTACACTAAAACTTCATTACCAGTTAAAAGTAAGGATCAGAGGATCTTTCATATTCTGAAGGGAATTTATCTTTCATATGTCAGTTCATGTGTTTGTTTTATGGTTAAACAAGTCTACTGTTGTTAATTCCTCTTTATAACATGCCCCAGAAAGGATAAAAAAAATATGCTTGGCATTTGGCAGTGATACTTAACATTAAGGCTTTCCTGGGACTAAAAATTGGAAGAGGAGGAGGAGGAAAAGGAACCAGAAGAGAAAGGGGAAGAAGAGACAGGAAAAGACAGATTCAGGGAAAGAAGTAGTAGCAAAAAGGAAAAAGTTTGGAACCCACACAGCAGAGACCCAGAATCCCAGTATTAGTATTGATTCTCCATGCCCATGACTAATTTTAGTAATAGTAATAGAATGAGGTTAGGTCTTCTCCTCTGGTAATGGCCTCTTCGATTTGGCCCTGGCAGAGCTTGTGAGAATCATGAGAGGAATTTGATACATCTCATCCAGAAATGCTACTATGGGGAAGAATTTGGAAGCCTCAAATATTCCAGAAACCACTCCCTGAAAAATGTCCTCTGCCTAGTGTAGAGTTTGCCTATGGTTTGGATGATGAGGCATAACTCTCATCTTTCTGGATTTGTCCAGAATTAATAAAATAATAGTGTTAATATGATGTCACGGGTGCATCTAATAATTAATATCAATGAAGTACTCATCATAATGCTTACTAGAGAATAGTTTCCGAGAGAAGTTCAACGTGCTCACTGCCTGTCTTTTACCTAGTTTGGGAAATCTCTAAGAGAATACTTTGTCTAGAATTAAATGTGTCTACCCAGACTCTCTACTTGCTTCTCGGGGTGTGTAATCCATTAGATGGGACTCACCTGAGGGCTACGGTAGTACAAGTTCCATTTTAAAAACTCATCATCTTTTTCTAAGTCTATGCCCACAGTGCCTATGGCTGGGGAGGCTGCGGCTTTCTCGCGGAAATGGAGATCCGTGAAGGCTGGGCTGGTGATGTCAAGATGAACTTCTCTTTTCCATTCCCTGGAAGCAGAAAAGCAGATAAGCCGTCACGAAAGGAGTATGGAGGTGGCAAAAGTCACAAGGAGTTTTGAAAAGGGCTAAGTTTCAATAAAGTTCCATACTGAAGTCCTTTATATTTGCTGTTTTCTTCATACTCCGCACTGAAGTCACGGTGCGCAAACGCTCCTTTGGTCTTACAGACTAACATGCCATTTTCAATTTTGTGTGTTCCCACAACTGTAGAGGAGAGATTTTACATTGTCATTAGATTCATAACTATAGGAGACAGACATTTTCATTGAGAAACCTGAGAGAATTCTATCTCAACCAAATAACTTACTTATCTGTTTAAAACATGTAATGTGCAGTTCACAGTTGTTTTTAAATAAATAGAAGACATTATTAGTCCTAAAATAATTACAGAAAATCTATTTTCTTTGAGTCTGTTCCTTTTGAATGTCAGTAGATTTTATATAGTTTGGTTTCTACATGTTAGGTATGTATGTATCTCCTCTCTTATTTTAAGTTTTGCTATAGGAAGTAATTGTGCCTCTAGTCATAACTAAATACGTAATTATTTACTTATAATGCTCATTGTAAATGTAAGAGTATCTAGGAGAGGAGGCAGGCTATGCCCTTACCATTTATGTCATATTCCAGGAATTGTATGGTTGAGCTGCACGTGGAATCCAGGAATGTTTCAACATGATCTCCTTTGTTTTTCAAACCAGCACTCCACGTAGCATTATACAAGGGAGAGGCCACCCCCAAGCGTGCAGTCAGTGCTCCAAAGGAAGGAATGAAAATCCCAGCAGGTATAGAGAACTCAATGGCAGGGATCTCAACAGTCTGCTCAGGCATGATGATGGTGGGCAACTCGAAGTCTGCAATCTTGCTGGCCATCTCATTTAGATCCCAAACAGCATTGCCAACTGAAATACTTATTGGAAAGGTGAACTGGGACACAGTTAACTGTGATTTAGGCACAGTGATCTCAAAAAAGGGAACTGAGGAATCTTCTGGTTGAGAATATTTTGTTAACACAGCAACTTCAGGGAATTCTACTTTGGGTAGTGTTGGTAGGTTGAGGGCAAATGATGAAGTTCTTAGCTGCTTATAGATTTTTATTTCACTTAAGTCAAGTTTGTAGGATGGAACCTGAAGATCTGTAAATGGGACTTGGAATGCAGGTATGATAAGAACTGAATTTAGATCATTTAGTTTCAGCCCAGGGATGATGAATTCATTGTCCAGAACTTTCACGGGGACCGAGAAAGGATAGCCATTGGGGTTTTTGGTGTACACAAGGGCAGTTGAAGCATGGAGATACTGTCTCCTGTCAATGCTGGTGGTTATGTCCAGCTTGAGAAGGTCCCATAAGCTCTTTTCATAAACTGGTAGCATGACATATTTAAGGAAACTTAGGTGTCCTTCTAAGGCTCCTGCAATGTCAAGGTGTGCCTCTTTTGGGTCATTGGAAAGCTCTATGTGGTTCTGGACAGACCCAGAATGAACCTGGACCTCACTTTTCCAGCTGACTTTCTGGTTCTTAGTGTTGGCATGCAGGGCCACTTCCTGGCTAAGGGAAGGGACATTAAGGAGGGAATTGGGCTGACTTGCATGGACCTGAACAAGGGCTGACATTTTCCATGGAGAGAGTTCCAGGGTGGCTTTACTTGTATGTTCCCCATGTGAAGAAAAGAGGCCCTCTAGCTGTAAGTGGTTTTTCATATTGCGTTCCCAGACAGCATAAATGCGTTGGAGAGTGGCTTCTCCAGCAAAATTTTCTTTTACTTGAAAATTCCAGATATCATCAACTTTGGAAGCCCCTTGTAGCTTCACTGAAGACCGAGTGCCCTTGGAATTAAAATAAGTGCTGGCCTCACTGGCAATAGTTCCTGAATATTCCTGTGAAAGGACTGAACCCTTGACATCTCCTTTGGTAGATGACTCTATGGAAAGGTAAGAGGCGAGGCTTTCCAAGATTAGCTTGTGGTCAACTGCCCCCTGAGCAGTAGACAGCAGCTGTGGGGAATTGAAATCATACTTTAACTCAATGGAGGAAGAGACAGTAGGTTTTGACTTGGTATTTCCATTAAGTTCTTGCTTGAGATTCATTCTCAAAATTGGAATTTGGACTTTTGCAGTTGTTGTTACCGATGCTTCCAAGTTTTTCTTGGTTAAGCTAACAGTACTGTTATGACTGCCTTCCACGAATTTGTTGCTCAAGGACAGACCTGTGGCTAACTTCAACCCTCTTTTTCTTGTCAAACTTGAGGTGCCTTCTAATTTGTATTGCAGTGCATCAATGACAGATGAAGAGGAAGAGAGGAGATGAGCCACAATATCTGATTGATTATAAAGTCCAGCATTGGTATTCAGTGTGATGACACTTGATTTAAAGGAGAAATCATAGGTAATATTGCCCATGGCTGGAATAAAAATATCGTTTACAGTACCCAATTCCTTGAAATCTGGAAGAGAAAGCTTGAGAAGATTCCTAGGGATACGAAGAACTGGCAGCTCTAGGGATGGCAGGACTAACGTGTATGAAGGCACATAGAAGTCAGAACCCAGGAGGGTGAAATTAGGGGTGCTGATTGCTTTTGGGATCACATAGCCAAATTCCAACATCTCTACTGTGAATGGAGACACTTCAATATTGATGACTGGAATAGTGTATCCAGGAATTTGAAAGGTCCTAGGGAGGTTGTTCTGGGATTCTTCAACTTTGTACTTATCAAACTTAATTTTTGCTTCATTATAGGATTTGGTGAGGAAATCTAATGCATTGTCTTGGGCTTTCTCCAAATGACTGTCAAAGGAATTGAACTTCTGACTGATAAACTCATAAAACACACACAAAGGATTTGTGATGGAAAGTTGGTCTTTGTTTTTCTTATACTGAGCTTTTGCACTTAAATCAAATGATTGCTTTGTTGTTTTCAAGAATTCCTTCAAGCCTGTTTTTTCCCACAAGGAGAAATCTTTCAGTGGTGGAGTTGTGATTATTGTGTAAGGTAGAGTCATTTCTGGAATTGTTAAAGGAATGTTTAAGAAATCCAGGTTAGCTTCTCCATTTATTCCCACGTGGGCCTCGATGGTGTTCTTGTTGTTTCCAGCAGAGAAGTTGTGATTGTACTTATACTGATTGAACCTAGCACTTGCTTGCCAACTTGCTTCCTGGACACTAGGACTCAGAAACAGAGCATAGTTATTCAGGAAGTCTATCTTCCCTGTCAACTTTAATGGAAAACTAACTTTCAAATTCCCTTCATTGTTTGTGGATGCAGTAATCTCAAATGAATGGGCTGAAACAGAAAGAGAGTTTTTCAAAGTTCCAATAACTTTTCCATTTAAATGAGCATCGTGGTTACCAGTTATCTCTGCTTTCCCTTCCCTGAACAGCGCTGTGCCTTTAGCAGTTAGAATACTGCGGCCCACATGCTGGGATTCAACTTGTGACTGGATTTCAAATTTAGAAACGTGGGGGAAGCCAGATTCATAAACCAAGTTTTGGTTTACTCTTAGGTGTTTGCTATTGATCCTATTGGATAATCCAAAGTAAGTCATGAGTTCTTTCACAGTGAAGTTAATTTGTGATTCATGTATTCCCTCATCTGAGAACTTGGGGCAGGCCCATTTCCATGACCCTATTCCTGAAGAAGTCCATGCCATGTGGCCAGCTTTCAACAGTGTCTTGATTTCGTTGCGTAGGTCAGCCTGACTAGAGAAGTCCAGTTTGGGGATGTTCAATTTGTGGAAGTACTTAGTATTGCTATCCAGGGTAAGCTGATTGTTTATCTTGACAAGCACACCATTATTAACCTCCAGTGTATTTTTTTCTGTGTATAAACTTGCCACTGTGTCTGATTTTCCCTCAATAGCATCTCTAGAAAATAGCATTTCACTCGCATGCTCTGTTCTCAGGTACTTGCTGGAGAATGTCACAGATTCCTTCAGAACCAGTGGATTAATCTTAGGGCTTGAGAGTTGTGCATTTGCTTGAAAATCAAAATTGAGAACTTCTAATTTGGATTCTCCTTTGGCAGCAATGGAAGCTGCAATATCTGCTTTGTTTGCCAAAGTAGTTATATTCTGTATGTCAGCATTTGCGTCCAATGTGAAAATGGGAGACTGGATTTTCAAAATGCTATATAGCTTGCCAAAAGCAGGTACTTCAATACTGTGTGAGATGTGGGGGAGCTGGAATTCTGGTATGTGAATGTTAGGAAATTGAAAATCATTACGGTTGAGATTTGGGATTACGAATTCTGGAATTGTGATTTCTGGTAAATAGAAATCTGGCAGGGTGATTCTACCAAAAGGAATGTCCTCTACCTTGAGATCCCTCAGATATACTTCTGGAACTGGCCACTGCAGCTCACTGTTCAGCATTTGGTCAATGGTTCTGATGATCTTTGCTTTTATTTCTACTAAGTCAATGGTAAAGGAAGGAATGTGCAAGATATTGAGGATAGTAAATTCTGGCGTGGAAAATCTGGATGGGATTTTTTTATCTTTCAACTCTTTGAAGTTTATCTGAACGGATGGAATCCTTAAATCTGTTAGGGGGACCATGAAGTCAGGTGTCTGAAAGGTAGCTTCCTGAAGAGCCCGAAGACTGACTTCGAAGGTAGGCATGGTGCCAAAGACAGTCTGGATTTCGGGAACAGTGAACCCTTGTTCTACCAATGCTTTCACGCTTTCAGCCAAATCTGGGATAGAATACTGCTCTGCAAAGTCAGTAAGGTTCTTAGCAGCAAGATTCCACCAGTCAGAAATGTAGGTGACAAGTGTGCTGTAGACCTGGCCCACCAGAGACAGGTATCGCTCAAGTTCTTGCTGAATGTCCATTTGATACATTCGGTCTCGTATATCTTCCAAGGTCTCTTGGAATTTGGCTTTCATGTGAGTCAAAGATGTTGAATCTAAAGCATCCTGTAACCAATCAATGATTAAGGTTATTTTGATGTCCTTTAGGCTTTCCAGATACTCTGAGGCCACGGTCTTGGTGTCCTCTACAAACAGTTTTAGTGTTTCAGCTTTCTGTGGTAGTTCCAGAGCCTGAATTTTACCATTGATTCTCTGAGTCACCTCACTGATTTTGTTATTGGTTTCATCTACAAACTGGTGGTAATCAAATGACCTTAATTTCTTTACCAACATATCAAGGAATTTGTTAACTTCTTCAACGAATTTTTTTAAAGACAGCGCATCAAGCTGCTTGACAGCATCATCAATAAACCTGATCAATTTCTCGAAGTAATCTTTTATCTCAATTTGTTGTAGGACATTGCTTAGCTTCTGAACACTCTCCTTCAACTTGTATTGGTGGGCCAACTGGACTGATTTATCCATTAAAACCTGGATTTGCTGGTCTACTGCATATGCCTTAATTAACTTGTAGACTGTGGCTCTAAAAGCATCGATTTTCTCAGTTACCTCAAAATCTCCAGTAAGATCTACAACATATTTGACATGCTCAAGAACATCATGTATTCTTCCAAGTGGAATTGTAGTTCTCAATTGATCTAAAAGGACTTTGACATCAGTAGCCTCAACCTGTTGTTTTAACTTTCCAGCAAAGTGCTCGAGGTCTGTATTCTGAATGTGTGCCTCGAGTTGCTGCAGTTTTTCTTGTATCCACTTTCTGATTTGATACTTAGTATCCACATTTTGAATCCAAGATGCAGTACTACTTCCAGTTTTGTTAAAATCAATATTTTCAATAAACGAATATAGAGCATGGATTGTTTTTTCTAAATTTACACAGATAGGATAATGTTCATTAAGAATTTTTAATTTTTCAATGATTAGGTCAATAATCTTAGCAACAGTTATTTTAAGATCATGTAAATCGTAATTATCTTTAATATACTGATCAAATTGTATCACATATGTCTGCATTTGAGACAGTTTTTCATTAAAGTTGATTTTGGCATTATCCAATACAGTTTGTAGATCATTTTCTGTAATTCCATATTTTTTTGTGAAAGCAGTCAGTTTCTCCTTGGCACTTGAAACTTGTCTCTTCCAACTGAATGAATTCAGAGAATCATTAACTTGCTGTGGGAGCTGGCTCAGGGCTGCTCTGTATTTCCTCACAAATTGATCAATATCAATGCGCTTCAATTCTTTCTGGATGACTTCCAGTACAGTTATAATTATTCTTTGATTCCTCTCAAAATATTCTGGCAGGGTTTTAAAAAATGGGAGGTTGATGGTGTGGACATCTTGGTTTTTATCATACTTCACAAAAGCAACAATTGTAAATTCTTGGGGCTTGTCAATAGCATCTCTCATCTCTAAAGCATCAATGACATTGATTGGCTCACTGAGTACAAGTGGCACTTTAATTGGGTAGTCTAGTACAGTGAGGTCAGCCAGGGCTCGTCCATTGAGCTCCACGCCGATTTTGTCTTTAGTGTTGTAGGCATCCAAGTCCTGGCTGTATTCGTTGTTGTTAAATTGGGTCTTGAGTTTCCAGGTACCTGTCTGCTCAGCTGGAGTAAGCAGGGTGCTGACTTTGTGATCCAGAGCCGTACTGATGCTTTTCCTAGACATGAGATGGTGACTCGTGGATCCTTTGTAATCATGAGAGAAAGTGAGGGCCAGAGGTTCCGCTTTCAACAGGAATTGGCTGTACAGCTGCCCCGTGTGTTCTCCCCAGAGAGCTAGTTTCCCATTGCAGTTTGTATGTGTGTCGATGGCCATGGTAAACGGGGCCATTGCGGAGTGGAAGACGTTGCTGAAATGCAGTGAGTCTGAATTATAGTTTGTGCTGACGTCAAGGGCTGAAGCCAGCCCAGCAACGTTTGTGCTGAGCCGATGGCTAAACTCCGCACCGCGAATCTTAGCTATAGTGTCTGCTTTATAGCTTGCTGATAAGGCAGCATAAGAAATGGTGTAGATGTGTTTTATTTCATTATTTTGATAGGCTCCTTTTAGGTTACCACCCACATTCAGCTTCAGGGGTTCAAGCCGCAATTTCCCAGTGTTGGTCAGATCCAGAGCACTGTATTTCAGGTCATTGTTTAAAGTAGTTACCAGAGAATAGGGCTGTAGCTGTAAATTAAAATTTTGCTTGTAAAACTTGTCAGAGCTATAAATGTTGTCGAGTTTTGAAGAGAAGTCCAGGGATAAGCCTGCGATGTTTAGGCTGTGCGTGTGGTCAAGTTTCATCTCGGCGTACGAGCCCATCATGTCGTTTGAGAGCTTAAGTCCTTCTCGGCTGAGTTTGAAGTTGAAAATGTTTTTGCTGTCGACACCGAGAATCATGGCCTGATAAGCGCTTCCCAGGGACACCTCTGTGAGGGCGGCTTTTCCATCTAGACTGAATTTGGCACTGTGTTCCCTGAAGCGGCCACTTGTTGTTAATTTCACAGACGTCCCCGAGAGGCCAAGCTCTGCATTCAGCTCATTCTCCAGCACCAGGGGACTATACTTCAAGTTGGTAGTTGCGCTGGTAGATACTGCACCCTGGGCGATCCTTAGTGTTGCCTTGTGAGCACCGCTATTAATTTTGTCAGTGCCCAAGATGTCAGCATTTAATTCAAGACCGTGGGAATTTAGTGATCCAGAAAGCAGGGTGAAGAATCTCAATGACTCGTAGTCGGCCTGGTACTCAGAGCGCAGCAATGCATTTTGCTCGGAGAAGGTCAGATCCACCTTGTTAGAAGTGGCAAAGTTCTTGTACTTCCCATTGGTGTCTGATTTCAGAGTCAGCTCATAGTTCTCGTATTTCAGAGAAGCAACATTTTTAATGAGGCCACCTTGTAGATCAGAGGTAGAGGTGAGGGAGAGGGTTCCATCCTCATATCTTCCTGTTATCTGGTTGGTGCCCTGGAGGTAGGAGGAGTTAAACCTCAGAGTGGACTCTCCATTTAGCTGGCCAGTGGCAGGATCCCTCTGACAAGACAGGCCATATGTGCCTTTAGCGTAGAACGAAGAGACTTTGAACTGCCCATCAATCTTGACTTCCTTGACATACAAATGCTGTTTCTTTTTTGAACCCAAATGGACCGAAGCAGACATCTGTGGTCCCCAGGCACTAGATGCATCAAATGTTAGTAAACCTTTCGAGACGGGGCTGTTTCCAACTTTTTCTACGTGACTGAATTTGATATTGGAATCTAGAAATTTGTGGTGTAGAGACCCATCACATGATAGCGTGTACGTATTCCTGTGGTCATACGTTGTTTCTCCAGATCCTAACATAAAAATTAAAAGACATTGGTTAAATTCAGTAACAAATTCCCAGAAAAATCTCTATGTTAAGAGTCTTTCAAAATAAAATTCCATTTATCTGGGTCATTTGTACAATAGACTCCTCCCTCTATAATGCAAACATAAAATCTGAGAGCAAAAGGCATTACTGCAGGAAGCCTTCCCTGACCACCACAGACCTAGTTGGGTTCCCTTACTGAGTGTTTCCACTGTACTTTATATTTATACACTACACCCTATCACAGCACCTCTGACACTGAATTATAATTGTTGGTTCATCTGTCTGTTTTCTCTGTTACTGCCTAGTAGAATAATTAATACATATTATATGTTTAATAACTATTTCTATTAGTTGAATAAATGAAAAGACTTCCAAGTAGCAAGGAAAATATCTGTAAGAAAGCCCAAGTCCTTTCTTCCTTAGAGGAGGCTCTCCTATCAGAGCCTGCAGTGAGTTAGCCCGTGTGCCCCGTCCCTGTGCATGGCTCACCTTGCACACTGTAGGAAAGCAGGTCAACCACAGAGTCTGCCTTCACGTGGTACCGAGCCTGAAGGCTGAAGTGGTCTGTGCTGGTGTTACCACCAGTGTAGGAGGCGGACCAGTTGTACAAGTTGCTGTAGACATTCGTGGAGAGGTCTAGAACACCCAGGAGAGGCACTTGCAGTTGATATGACTTGGGAATGGTGAAAGCAGGAACTTGGAACTCTTGAGCTGGCAGGTGGAATTCCATGGGCTTGAAGTGGAGGGCTGGTGTCCTAATAGTCTCTAGCACCTTTAGATCTTTGGAGGATTTGCCACCAAAAGGCAACGGAATCTCAATTTTCATACTGTTCTTGTTCAAAGTATATTTGACCCGGCCATCACTGCAATGAACAACAAAGACAGTGTCTCCACAGTCAGACATCAGGAACTCAAAGTTTTCTGCCATCTGACCTACCCAGCAATATTGCACCTGCCCCATTCCCAAACCCCCTCTGCACTTTCCCTCATGCAGCTCCCTATGCCTGGATCCCTTTGCTTTTACCTCTATTTGCCAAACACTCAAACCCTCACAAAACTCTCCCAACAGCCACTCCTTATCATTACCATTGCGCCTAAGCCATAGCTAATTTCTCTCATTCTTATAGTGACGCAGTCCCTTACACCTCTCTCAAAGAGCATGGCACAATTCTGCTTTTATAATTGGTTATTTGTTCATTTGTTGGTGTCTACATGGTATCTTCTCAGAAAGACTATACCTTACCCAGTTTCTATCTTCTCACTGCACCAAATCTAGTATTTTTCACATAGGGGACACTTGATACATATTTGCTAACCTGAATGGAGGCAATTTGATATGTAGAAAAAACACAGGTGTAGAAGTCAGTAAATTTGGGTTACAGTTTTAGCTTCCACTAATTGGCAATGTCATCTTAGTGAATTAGTCTCTCCGAGTCTCAGTGATATTATCTGTATATGGCTAATAATATCCTTTCTGCTGATTCACAGAGATGGCCTTGGATATCAAACGAGAAGATATATCTAAAAGCATTTGGCAATCTTTTCAATGCTATGCATATACAATAGACTTATGATAATTTATAAAAATACAGTAAAACAGCAGGGTTTAACTGTTCTTAAAAAATAAACTGTTCATTGTATTATTCCAACAGGGGCTGGATGCTGCCTGCAAATATAGAAATGGACTGAGCAGTTTGGAATCTGACTTCATTGCAAGGATTAAGCTATATTGCTAAAGTGAAATACAGTCAGCCCCTCATGGATGCAGAGGTTCTGCATCCATGGATTCAACCAACTGCAGATCAGAAATATTTAGAAAAAAATGTGTCTGTCCTGAACATGTACAGACTTCTTTCCTTGTTATTATTCCCTAAACAGTACAGTATAACAACTACTTACATAGCATTTACATTGTATTAGGTATTATAAGTAATCTAGAGATGATTTAAAGTATGCAAGAGGATGTGTGTAGGTCATATGCAAATAATATGTCATTTTACATTAGGGACCTGAGCATCTTTGGATTTTGGTATCTAAGGGAGTTCCTGGAACCAATCCCCTATGAGTACCGAGGGATGACTGCATTTTCTCAGAATGCTGCCTTCATTCAGTTCTCAATGGCTGTTCTGACCCTCAATAGCTCAACAGCAAGCCTATAGTCAATAATTCCTCCAGCCACTCTTGAATTCTCCACAAAGGTGGACTTTACTTACGATGGAAGAAAGTTTAAAGGCTTTCAAATTCTGGTTACAGTGAGTAAAACATCTTAGGGTGAAAATACCAGAATCCTCCAATTGCTTTCTTAGGTTCTCTTCCTGACAGGGCTGGTGTTCACATTCTGACCTCATATTTAATAATGCAAAAATGCCACAGTGTTTATGCTAGAGTTATTAATCTCCTTAAAATGCTTAAATTATTTCCCTTGAAAATTTAAATTAAAAAAATAGCCTATAAATCATGCTAAATAAAATCTTCCATTTACTTCACATGGTTCTAGAAACTTTGCTGGTTTCTTTCTTTACCTTTTTAAGAAGAGGTTTTCTGGGATGTGGAAGTCTGGCAACCCCATTTGTTGGAGGTTCAACTCCTTTAGGCTATCGAGGTGATCTTGCAAAGTCTGGGCGTAAGGAAGACTCCCAGATGCCTTCTGAAGCCATGCGTTTGTTGCCTACAAAATGACAGGAGGTTTTTAGAGTGATGGGCATGAATGAGCCTCAGGGTACAATGAACATTAGGTGAAAATTCAGACTTGACAGTTCAATTATTAAGCAGGACAATGTACTGAAAGTTAAAAAAAAAATCACAGAAAATTATGAATTTGGGTTGCTAGTCACTGATTTCTTCCTGTGTTTGATAAAAGGAATGTCTAACATAGTCAGACTCTTAGCCAGTGTCCCGAAGCTTCTTTTTATACCATTAGACCCAGCAAACTGTTCTGCCAAGTAGCATTCATTTGTCATTTACCACATATAGCTTTGTGTAACCGGGTAACTACGCATGCGACAATGGTTCTTTTCTTCCCAGGAATTTGCTGGAGGCAGGAAGCATGCCTTGTATATCTCTGGATACCATCCTGAACCTAACTCACAATCGGGGTTGTAATGAGCACTTACAACCATGTATTTATAGCTGAATGATTTATACTTACAACTATTAATTTGGAACCCATGTGCCGGAAAGTCATGTCTGTTTGAGGAACTCTGTGATCCAAGAGACTATTGGCATACACAAGCAAGCTTCTAGGATAATCAGAGAGATCCATAGGGAAATTGGAAGCCACTTTTTTTGTATCCACGTTGGAGCCCGTGTTCCATTCAAATTCAATCTTCTCTTCATCTGAAAGTGCACATATGAAATAGTTGTGAGTGGTACTAGGTCAGCCTGCAACCACGGCTGTTGACCCTGCACTTGAGTAGACAGTGCTGTTGGACACGCTCGCGTGCGGGAAGAGGCGCGTACCGTAACGCCACGCCACCCTCTTGGAAACGGTTGAGCCATAAGCTGTGGCAGATGAGTCCATCTGGAGGAGCAGTTTAGTGGAGGACCAGTGGGTGAGGATCTCACTTCTGGCTTCTGCTTGCAAATGGGGTATGGAAATAACACCTTTGATTTTGCCTTCTTCCTTCGTGTCGCAACTAAGGAAAAGAAAATCAGCTGGCATCAATGATTTTGTCCATTCCATTTGTGGTGATGAAAACGAGATACATGAATGGCTCAGAGACACAACCAGAGCTCATACTCATTAACTGCTAGAACCAACATTCAGCACAAATTCAGGACTTTACAAAGAGGTATAGGTAAAAAGAGGAGCTTTTTGAAAGTTGTTTTGCATCCTGCTCTGCTGTGTACTTGCTCTATGGCCTCAGGCAAGTGATTCAACTCCTCTGAGCTACCATTTCCTTATCTATAACATAGGGAAACTCATACCTACCTTGCAGTTTATTGTGGGGACTGAGATAATTTCTTTAAAGCATCCAGCACAGTGCTTGATAAATAAATAAGTGCCTGGCAAATGGTAGTAAAATATAACTGGACATGCGCAGAGGGTTAAAATGTTGAGGGCTCTATATGCCGCTCAGATTGTAGACCAGGGACACACGTGGCTTGGTCAGATTTAAAGTGTAAGAGGATGAAGGGCAAGAGCCACCAGGGCCTGCAGCTCAGGTCAGAACCCCCTAAGCCTCCCTTACCTTAGGTGGCCCATGACAGCGACCTCAGTAATTTTCTTGTTCTGAATGTCCAAGGTGAGTTTGTAAGATATTTTGTCCTTAACAGATTCATTAATAACTCTGAGTATCGTCCCAAGGTCAACATCAAAATCCGGAATTTGGACTTCACTGGACAAAGTCACAGTTTGCCGATTATATCTGAATGTCATGGTAGCCTCAGTATGCTTCACACCTGAAAGAGTGCATAAGAGAATTGAGAAATGTATGGGGAGAAGCTACATTTTGGAAGGGAGGAGAAGAAAAAGCAGAGAAACTCCAAGAACTCAAGGTGCTTAAACAAAGATGCGGTTCAGTATTTTCCTTTTTAACTCAGTAATGTTCATACATCTGATCTATCTACAAGTATTTATTGACTGCCCATTATGAGTTAGGCTCTGCTCTTGGCACTGGGGTGTCCTTGCCTTCACAGAGCTCACCTTCCAGTAGGGGTAGATCCCTTATGTCAGGCGGTCATGAATGTTATGAAGAAAGGTAAAATTGGGTAGAGGATAAAGAATAGAAAGCGATAGAAGAGGTGCTATTTTGTATGTGGTAGTCAAGAGAAGTTCTCTCTGATAAGGAAATATATGGGCAGAGACCAGAATGAAGACAGAGGCTGAGCCACCTGAATTCTTGGGGGAGCACATTCCTGGAGGAGCACATTCTGGGAGGAGTACATTGTGAGAGGAGTACATTTTGGGAGGAGGGTCAGAAATGCAAAAGGCCTGAGGTGGGGAGCACTTGGTACGTTTGGGGAATAGTCAGGATTCACAGTCCTCTCGGTCAGGCAGACATGACATCTCTGTTACTTTCCATCCAAGACGCTTGTCCTGGTTCCTTGCAACGCCTGCCCTGGCCTCCCTCTTCCTGCCTCCCCCTTTCTTTGTAACAAGGTTCTCAGGCTTCCTTCAATTTACAGGCTCACCCATTTTGTATCTTTTATAAAACCGCTTTTACAAAACAATCTTTTTCCAGCATGCATTGCCCCTCCCCAGTGCTTTTTCCTGCGGATTTTTTCCTCTACTTTAATTTTCTGACCTACCATCCCTACATAAAAAAATCTTCCGAAGTGAACACCTAAATTTGCCCGTTCCCTAACACCTGCTCCTCCAGTAGCCTTTCCCACCTCACTAAATAGCAATTCCATTTTTTTTTAGTTGCTTAGGCTCCCAAACTTAGAGTTGTCCTGATTCTCCTTTTCCTCTTGCACTCAACATCCACTGTGTCAGCAAATCTTGTCAGCCTGATCTTCAAAATGTGGCAGGAGTCCCATCCCCTCTCATATCTCCCTCTGCACCACCCTAATCCAAGATGCTGCTGTCTCTTGCCCGGATTGCTTCAGTAACCCACATTCCAGTTTCTCTGCCCTTGTCCTCCTACCATCTTTTTTCAATTTGAACATAAATACAATCATGGCAACTCTCCAGTGGCTTTTATTTAATCCATAGAAAAAGCCAAAGTTCTTACCATGGCCTATAAGACCATCCTTCCCCTACCTCCCTGTATCTCTCTGGTCTCATCTTCTGACACTTTCCTCCCTGGTCTCTCTGCTTCAGCCAAACTGGCTTCCTTCCTTTTCTTTAAACATGGCAGCCATGTGCCAGCCTCAGGGCCTTTGTACCTGCTGGCCCCTTGCCAGTAACACTCTTTCCACATGGCTTCTCCCTTTATCTGTGCCAGCTCTCTTTTTATGCTCCCTTTACCAGGGAGTCTGTCCCTTATCATTCCAAATGGCACTGCCTCCCCTCACCCTCCCTCCTCTCTACCACCCTTAGCCCTTCCTAGACCTGTCTGTGTCCTGTTTTCCTCCCCAGCGCTGACCTGACATTTGGAATATTGACTTGTTTGGTTTTTTACCATAACCTCTATGAAGATAGAAACTTTACTGTTCAGTGTCTTAGCCCCACCCCTCAGAACAGACCTGCCAGTTATTGGGCGCTCAGTCAACATTTGTTAAATATGTTAAATTAAATGTGCTCTTGAGAGTCCTGAACCTGAGGCTGAGGGCAGAGATGGAGCAGGCCTGTTTTGGATACTCACCTTCTGTCTGAGTTACAAACTTCAAGGTGTCCACCAAGGCGCTGTCCTCTTTCTGGAGCTCATAGGTTGCGCTGACAGAATACTGCTCTACCTCTCCCGTAGGCTTCAGTTCCAGCTCGAATCTAAAGATATTACAATGCAGACAGTGCATAATGTTAGAGCTTTCAATGATGGTGATAATGTCCCCAAAATAATTCGGTGTCAAGTGCTACAAAAATATGGTTCTCATTTTAACATTGTCCCTTGCCCCTAACTAAGGTGATCTTTATGATCCCTTCAGTCCAAGAGCCCAAGGCAAGGGAAGATCCCAGGATTCCCATGGCTTTTGGACAAGCAGAGCAGAGTTGGCTGGTTGTGCCAGCAACACTGAAAATAAGCTGTGGAACTGGGGAGTGCTGAAGACAAGGGGCCCCTTAAGCACAGTGATGGCTTCCAGCATGTTGGGGGGCTCCAGGAAGCTCATACCAATGGGTCTGGAGGCTCAGAAACATGGACCCCGATTAGGAACAAATTGGAATCTGTGTCATAATCTCCTCATGCAGTGCATAAGGGAGCAAGAGGGGAGAAAGTATGGGCCAGGGGACCTTGCTTGAAATACCCAAAGGATGGTGCAAACAATTGAGGCTGGTGACAGGGGCTTAGGACACAGGACATTTTTTCCTCTGTCCTGCTAGGGTCCATATGCAGAAGGTAAGAAGATGCTGGGCCAGGCCCTGAGCATGTCTGACCTCGTGTCCCCCGTCAGCGGATAGTAGGAGGCAGAGTCTGTGGAGCTGGCGTTGGAGTAAGCACCTGACGTGCAGTAATTCAGGCCAGTAAAGAACGGCTTGCAAGCTGACCAGGACTGCCTATTCTCAATTAAAGGTGGGATCGCTTCTGTTTTGGTGGTAGACACCAAATGCAACGTGTTGCTGGCGACGAAAGAGAAAACCTGAGTTGTCTTCAAGTCATGAATTGAAGTGAACATCACAAATCCTTGCAGTGAAAATGCCCCCTTCTCCTCCTCTCTAGCTCCCCTCCATCCACGCTCAACTCAATTTATTTGATTTACTGAGAAATAAATAATGATAGAAGAACATCAATAAGACTAACGATCATAGTGACTCTTAGGTTCCAGACATTGCATTAATTTTTTTTCATTTGTTACTTGTAATCCCCATAGCAGTAGGCGTAGGATTCTCATTTTACAGAAGAAACAGAGGCTTAGAGGTGTTACATAACCGATCATGGGGGCCTGAACTTAGGTGTACCTCTTCCTTCAAAGGATACAGGGGAAGAGGAACCCTGTCTCTCTTTCTCTGAAATCCCTTACCCTCTGCTGGCTTCCTTCCACCAGCATTAAACCAGCTCAACTCAATTTACTTGGAGACACACACACACACACACACCCACACACAGACACACACACTCCTTTCTTTCCTTTCTTGCTCTCCTCTCCTTCACAATCAAGAGAGTTGTCTGCCTTTCTTTCAATGTATTTCTCACTGAACTGATATCTGACTGCTCACCTCATCATCTTCGGAAAATGCTTTTTCATCATCTCCAGTTCCCTCCTTGCTCCTAAATCCCATGAGCATATTTAGGCCTTATTGTCCCTGACCTCCCAGAACCCTTCAATAGAATTGCTCCCTTATGGCCAGATATGGTACCCTCCTGTCAAGTATGTACTTGAAAAATTCATAAGTATAAGCAAGTTCAACTGTTAGTTGGGTGTGGTGGCTCACACCCATAATCCTAGCACTTTGGGAGGCTGAGGGGGAGGATCGTTTGAGGCCTGGAGGTCAAGATCAGCCTGAGCAACATAGCGAGATCCAGTCCCTACAAAACATTTAAAGAAAACAAAAAACAAAAAAATGAAACAAAACAAAAAAATGACAACAAGAAAGTTGAACTATGTCCTGATATCGTCTAAGGATGGTTTCTTCGAAATACCTCTTCTTCCCTGCCCCAGCATTATTTCTTCACTTTGGGGGTGCCCCAAGACCAAGCTTTGCTGGTGTGCCTAAGCCCTAATGCCAGCGTTAGCCTGCCCGTGGGGTGACCCACCCCTGTGGCCACTCCTTGGCTTCTGTGGCCCTTTCTGGCCTTGGTTCTCCTGCTTCTCTGGTCACTCCTTCTCACTCTTTGCTGGTTCCTCCCCCTCTCCCTTTACAGGTTTATCTTCTCCACGTTTCTATCCTAGTCTGTGTTTGACCTCGACAACCTGTGTGTGCTGACTCCCAAATCCGTATTTCAAGCCCAAGCCTCTTCACTGGGCTCAGACCCACAGGTCCGTTTGCTGGCTGGATAGTTCTAATGGGCTGTTTCCTAAGACATCAAATGCAGCACATCCAAAACTGAACTTGTCATCTTCCTCTAAACCAGCAGTTCTCCCTTTGTAACCCTTATTTCAATGAAGGGCATCCCCTCCCCGCTTTCTTCTTTCTTCTTCCTTGTCCCCATATCCAGCCAATCACCCAGCGCTCATGATTCCACCTCCTGGCAAGTTCTAGAGTGCTCACCGCATCCTGCTCTCCTCCGGTGTGGGCCGTCATCCCGTCACCCATATTTGATCGCAAGAGACTCCCAATGGGTCTACCTGCCTCCAGCTGTGGCTCCTTCCCACCCATTTTGCACTCTGGAGTCAGAGTATTTCTCCTAAAACACCAGCCTTGTCTTCTTTATGCCTCCATTTCAACTCCTTTGCCTTCAGAACAGTCCAAACTCCCTAAGATGGCTTCGCTTACACGGCTGGGCACCGTCTGGCCCCTGCCAACCTCTCCACGTCATTCTTCACTTATGTGTCCTGAGAACTTTGCCATTTTGAGCTTCTTTCAGTTCCTTGACCCCTATTCCTTTTGCTTCAGGACATGACATATGCTTTTCCCTGTGCCTGGAACACTCATTTCTCTCTCATTTGCCTGGATAACCCTGATGCGGCCCTCCGACGTCAGGTTGAGCATACTTGCCTTAGGGAGCCTTCCCGGACCACCACAGGCTGCGTGATATATAACTCTGTGGTGCTCTAATACTGTCTCTAGCTTGACCCTTACCTTCATCTTTACTGCTTGTTTAATTGCATGTCTTCCCTGTAAACCATAAGCTCTAGAACGTCAGGGTCCTTGTGTATTTCACTCAACAGTCTTGGTACTTATCAGGCAATTAAATACTATCTTTGAATGAACATATCTGTCCAAAATATGGAAACCAAGGTAAACCAGTGGCTGAGGATATCATTGAAAATGGAACTCTCAGGAAGAGGCTACATCCATACTCATGAGATTAGGAGTTTCATGCTTTACCTGCTGAGCTAGCTACCCTACCACAAAAATCAGTATGTCCTTTGGTATTTTTCCTGGGGAAAAATGTTCATTTCCCAAGGATGATTTCTTTAGAGCTAGTATTCCTTTGTTCTCAAAACTAACAGTCAAACAAACAGACAACAACAAAAAAATCACAACCTAATAACAATGAATTCAGCAGTAAGTCATAATCTCCAAGCAGAAAAATATAGGACAATTTAGTAAAAAGTGAAAAGTGGAAGAAAGGGTAAATATTTAGTGAGTCTAGGCTAGGATGAAAATAGGTAATCCAGAACATTTCTTTCCTACTCCTCTCCCCCTCCTTCCCTGGCACCTGAGTTATCTCAATTAACTATCTAGTCTGGCCAAATCTTGCAGATACATTCTCAACGCTCTCTTTCAAACTAGCTCAGCAGACCTGGTGGAAAGAATTACCTGCCACTGAACAGCTTGACCGGCCTCTTTGGAGAAGGAATGATAAACTTCAGCTGCCCAGCTCTGAGGGAAACACGAGCCTCCAGGCCTGACTCATGGAAGAAGTTGGTGTTCATTTGGACCCCGCTCCTAGCAAAGTCTGGGATGATCATGCCCATATTTGTTACAAACTCCACAGACACAGAGGGTTTTGTCACCAGTTCGGCCTGCATCTAAAAGTCAGAAAACAACTTATTCAGGTTCAGTAAGTACCTCTGCCCCCCCTGGCAGTCAGATCAACCACCCTTTCCCATCTGCAGGCAAACATCTCTGGATAACTCGCACCGCAGGAAACATTGCTGTGATTTGTTTGGAGGAAGAAAAGCAAGTTCTCAGTTCTCTAGAGCCAGACTGCAGTACCCAGGACTAGAAGTATCTGAGCTAACTTAAGCACAACCAGAGGAAAAGATGGCAGCAATACTCATTTACTGAGAGAACTGAGCACTTGTCTTACTGCGATACCCCAACTGGAGCTAGAGAGGTGGCACATTCTGGTGGAACCCGAAAGTTTTTCATAAAAATTAATAAGATGATTACAATGTTGACGCACTTTCTCTTCAACTAGAAACACATTTTAAAAATGTGCAACAGAAATCCACCCTGGAGGAAAAGAATAACCTAAGAAATCAAAAGGCAAAGGGAGCCTTACATTGGCTACTTCCAATTTCACTCCAGCCTTGGTTCCGGGAGTGATGACTCCAGATGAAGACATCTGCAGCTGTAATCCAGCTCCGGTGGGGAGCTCGAAGGCATTGTCCATGAAGATGTAGTGAAGGAAAAAGTCATTCTTGGAACCCTGCCTTATGGCCTCTGCAATCTATAGGTCCAACAGGGGAGAGCAACTTTTAGTAAGTCTAAATGGGTTTTGTTAAATGCAACCTCCCACACATTGGACAATAATTCCTCTTTATCCAGAAAGGAAGAGACTAGTATATTCTGATAAGCTGAAGAGTTTGAAAAAATAAAGACTAATGGTTACTGCTCTCAACGAATCGGGACATAAGAAATTGCTCTGGATAGAATATCATGTCATTTTCAACTGGTGACTCGGAAGGCACTTAAGAATATTGCTGGGCTTCAGACCTTCGTGAACTTTAAGTATCGTGTATGGCATGGCTTAATTCTGGTGTTTTGGAGGATTCTGAATGTAAATGAAGGTATACTTGAAGTATATTATATTATTATGGTAAAATCAATTTTTTGAAACCAAGAATCTATTGAGATGATGTACCTATCAATTTGCATTTTAAAAATAATATTTCCATAAAATAACTTGAGATCTGTTTTCTTAAAGCCAACACTGTTATTTATCAAATCATAAGGAGTATGTTTATATATTTTATCATTTATTAATACATTAATAAAAATTATGACAAATAAATATTTGGATGGTGGTTTACAGTTTGCCAAATTCTTTCATACTCACTGTATCATTTCTATAGTAGAAGGACCTTCAGCAAAGGTAGAGGAGGGTACATTTGACATTACTTTCTAGATGAACAAATTAATTCTCTTAAAAGATATAGCTAACATTATTAATAGCTTAATTTCCAGAAGATACCAGTTCTTTGTAATCCAAGAATCATCTTCATCGAGATTCAAGGCAAATCTGTCTCTCTGAAGGAAGTACAAGCACCTTCTCTAATTTGTAGGGCTGGGATCCTAAGGGAGTCTGGGACATCTAAAAAGAGCACTGTCCAATTTCAGGGGCCCTCTGATGGGGCCTGGCCACTCACCATCTGGGGGATCCCCTGCAGAGTGCGCGCGCTGATCAGCAGCAGCTCTCCCAGGAACTTCAGGTCACGGAGCCTGGCAAAGCCAAGCTCCTCTCCCAAGATGCGGAGGTAGGCTCTGGCTTCTGGGACGTCTTTGGATTTCAAATCTTTAATCAGATTCTCAACATTGAGCATAATTCCATTTACCATGTCCTGAGATACAGTAATAAAATGGCTAGTGAGATGTCATCACTGTTCAACACCTTCACATTCCTGATGTGGGGCCTCTCTGCTGCGGCTATTTTGTGTCTGAACATAAACTCTCCCCGTGAGGACACAGGGCAGATGCTGAAATCCGGACTAATTCCTCTACACCGAGATGAAAATCACTGAGGTCTTGTCAGGGATAGTGGTGCTCCCAAAGCTGTTCTTAACTTGAAAATGTAGGCATAGTAAGTGTGTGTGTGGGGGGGTCCCTGTTCTTTAGGATGCCAGGATTGCTCGGACTCCTCAAGATTGGAGGACTCTCAGCCCCCCACCCCTTCCCTGTGCAGCCCCATCTCCTATGACTAGGGGGAAGTATTTGGGGTTTCTTGAGAAAGTGTAGCTGCTACGTAAATTGGCCAAAAGCCTAAAAAACACTCCATCCTAGACAAGTTCTTCTTCAGAGAAGTAGAATTCCATGGACTGATACCCAGGCACTGAGAAAGAAAATAGAAGTTGACAAGACCCAAAGCGGAACGACGACCCTCAGCCTCAAGTGGAGGCCAGGAAATTAGGAAATGGAGGGCAGGTCACCAGTGTGCACCTAGGAATAAATTACTGCCCTGCTTCTCCAACCTGAATGTTCACACAAGGCACCTGGGGGCTTGTTCAAATGCAGGTTCTGATTCAGTAGATCCTGGATGGGGCCTGAGACCCTGCATTTCTAACAAGCTCTCATGTAGTGCTAATCCCCAGACCGTACTTTAGGTAGTAAAAAAATTAAAGAATAAGAAGCTACAGATTATACAACCTATTTTACTCCTTAAATGGGGGCTTGTTGCTAGCTTCAAAGTGGATTTTTGGTTCCATTAGCTAGTGTACTGATGTGAGTAAGAGCCAAAGAAAGCAGTTAATAATCATGAAAATATTAATTTAAAACTTATAATCATACCTGCTTATTTGAACAATCAATACCAGTGTCAGGCATCGTGCTTAGCATTTTAGATACCATATTTCATTTAGTCTTTAAATAACCTTGGGGGATCTGGACTATTATTAGTACTCTGGGATGTGGAAACAGATGCCTATAACATCAAGCAAATTGTACGGGTGTGAACAGCTTCAAGACAGTGAAGTTAGAACTCAAATCCATGGCCCCCGACTCCACACCTGTAATCATTATGCTAGAGTGCCCCTACCTAGGCACACTGAATTTCCAGGAAGACCTTAACTGCAGAGGATTCTGACTTATACTGGCAGACCCCATAGGTCTGGCTAATAAGAACCATAGTTATTGCTTCAGTTTGATAGTATCTTGATGACTTCCAGGCTTAGAATAGAGTGTTTTTGCATTGAGACCCAAAGCTTTCCTTGAGAGGATACTTAAATACATACCTGCTCACGTTTATCATCTTTGGTGTAGCCAAAGTGGTCCTCTAAGACCTTGGAGACATGATCAGGAACTTGGCCATTAACCCAGTACAAAGCTTTGTTGACACTGTCTGGGAAAAATCCTTGTTTCCCAAAAAGAGCTTCCAGTGTTGGCTCAAAGCCTTTTCCCTCCAAGCCAATCTGAGAAAGAAAATCAGGCAAGGGAATGCTGTCAGGTTTCTTTGTTGTTGGTCAGCCTCCTATTCCCTTCCTTATGTCTATTTAACTAAAAAAGCATTTGATGCGTATTGCTGGGCTGAAGCTGAGCTTAGCACTTCACAGAAGTTGTCTTGTTAAAATTTCTCCAGAACCTTGAACTGATTACTTGCTTTTTATCTAGAAGAGGTAGCTAAGGTTCAGAGAGGACAAAACAATTAAATCAAAGATTCACAGTTGGAAGTGGATTTGGGGTTTGAACCAGATCTGACTAGGCAGCTCATACATTTCCCTGGATTTGGGGTTTAAGGGCTTCTCTGAGATGTCTGTATTTCCATTAACACTAAGAAGTCATGCTTCAGGTGACCCCTAGTGGGGAGAGAGGAAGGTGAGGAATGAGGGAAATAAAAAGGCTTCCATGTTCTGGTAGGAACAGCCTGATGGGTCTTGTTCCTCTCGGGTTGGCTCACGCTCCCTCAACTCTCGATTATGGTTTACAGAACTGGCTGGAGAACTTACGACTCCTCACACGTACCTCGAAGAGGTCAGCTGCAGCAAATCCAAAGACAGTGAGGGTCGTTTTCAGCATGCTTTCTTTAGGAAGGTAATTATTTGGATCGAATATAAGATTCCCTTCGATTTTGGCTGAGGCTGAATTGAGTGATGGAAGAGAGACAGATTTGGAAATCTGATAGTTCCGGGAAAATTTTCTGAAGTCCATGAGAGTTGGAAGTTGAGATTCTCTCAGAGCTTCTTTCACTAATGTTTTCAGACTAGACAAAAAGAAGTATATTTTGAGCTGACACACCATGTTACTTATTCTTTGTCTCTTGTAGCCCAAGTAAATGTGGATTTCCAACTGCTACCAAATATTTGGGTTTCATTTGCCCCAAGACCTTGGGGCTCAGCGTCTCCTGCACATTCGCACAAGCATCTGTTCCAGAAGAAAGCACACTCCGCAAAGGGCAGGCAGTGGCTCTACCAGAATCCGCACCCGGAATTCCAGCCCAGACCCCACAGTGGCCAATGGGGGAAAGTTACTCTTACTTACTCTTGGATATACAATTCTTCTGAGTTCAAGATGTTGGCAATGTGGGAAGCCACAAAGTTCTTCACTTGCTCATTCTGTTCCCGTGGCAGAAGTTGGATGATTTCACTGATATCTGACTGGGAAGGAGTCCTCATGAGCATGAGATAGGCAGCCAGTCGCTTATCTCCTGGAGAAGCACCATCGAGGAAAGTCTGAAGAAGGACCCCCTGCTCCTATAGTCAGAAGAGGAGATGGTCATCTCTGTCCCTTGGTCAGAACACAGAACATGCCTGGCAAACGCTGGCATGGTCTGCTGGTCTGCAAGCTCTTTCTTAAGCACAAGTTTAATATCTCTCTAGTAACTCTTCAAATGCCGGTATTGAATCTTTTTGCCAATGTTCCCTAGAGCATCATCAAGGTAGAGTTCCCAGAAGATGCCCATCGAATGTATCTTAATTCAATTACATTAAAATATAGAAATTATGGCCAAGTGATGACTTGTTTGGAATATCTACCACTAAGTGAAAATAAAGTTGTTTTAACATAAATTATTTTAATGTGAGGGTAGAGATGGGAAGGGATAGTGAAAATCTGGGGCTAATCAGTAAAGTAGTTTCCAAAGCTCTGGCATCATTGCCACCTACATGGGGCCACGCTGACTGTCCTAGCTTGGGGTTATGGGGGGGAAATGAAACATGTTTTCACAGGATGAGGGCGATGGTAGGTCTGGCACAAGGACGGCAGGTAGGGAGAACCTTGTATTCTGCACGTTGGCTTAGCAACAAGATCAAATATTTCTCTCATGTACACATACTGCTAGGCAATCAAGCCGATAGGCTTGCTGAAATTTGCAATGAGGAAAGAGTAGAATAAAGTCAGTAGAATGATGACATTTAGGATCTCATTCCCCTGTGCTTTCCAAATGCTTGTAAATCTGAACAAGCTTTCACTTTCAGACCTCCTCTGTGGACTTCACCTCATCTTTAAGTTCCATTTTCCGTAGGGCCTGGATGGCAGCTTTCTGGATCAGCAGTGATGGCTTTGTGCTTTTGATACATTTCAGGACTGAAGACTTGAGTGTTGGAGTTAACTGCTCCATGGTCTGGCCCATATTTCCAATGACCTGCGTTGAAGGAGAGAAACAAGAAGCCATCAAGGTGCATCAGGAGAGAGAAGTAAAAGGTGTCCAGGAAAAGTGCTTCTGAAATGATGCAGGTTACACACAAGACTGACCGTACCCTCAGAATCAAATCGGTGTAATCTTCGTCCCCAGTGCAGTCATTTTGAATCTGTTCCTCTAGGTAATTAGCAATGTCCAGCAGGTCCTGGGTCTCTGTAGGGTGTGTCTTATGATAGCTATAGAGTAAGAGAAGAGAGTTAGGACTTAGGAAGCATAGTGAAGTTTGTCTTAAAATCCAAACTTGTGATTGCTGATTTTCTTATTTCCAGTCATTACTCCCAAAATGATCAGTGAAGAACAAAAGAGTAAGCAGCATTTGAAAGTAGAGAGACGAGCACAATTTCAACACAGAGATGCGAGGTTTTCCCTGCTCCCAGGGGAAACACCATGTGAAAACTCACCTGTTGACCACGTGGCTCAGCGCATATAAGGTGGCCCGGCTCCGCTGCTCCCTGGCCGTGTTGAAGATCTCCCGCAGCCTCTGTGCCGAGGGCTCTGGGACCAGAGCCACCAGGTAGGTTACAACATCTACCAGAAGGGGTTTGGCATGCATCTGCTTGAGCCACTGCAGGATGTGACTGTAACACTGGGACTGTCCACACTGAACCAAGGCTTGTAAAGTGATGGGGCTGAGAAGAAAAGCATGGTGGGAATTGTTCAGACCACCTTCAAGATGGATCAAATATCCTTTGCCCATGGTGTGCTCTTGGCCAGGAGTGCCTCTGTTACCCTCATTCACCATTCTAATCTAACCATCTTTCAAAATCCAGCTCAGAGCCCGAGAACCATGATGCTTTCCCTAGGAGTATTGCCCCCTGGAGAAGCACAGTTGCAGAAAGTCTGAAGAAAGACCCCCAGTGACCCGTAGCTAAAAGAGGACTGTTGTCACCGTCACTCTGGTCAGGACACAGAACATGCCTAGCCAACATTGCTGCAGTCTCATTCCTGGCCTCGGTTCCCTCTCTGGCCTTCATAGCACTTACAGCCAGTGCGTTGAAATGTAGAGACATCAAATTATTATTTTCTTTGCCTGAGTTCTCTTTCCACTCGCTTATCAGTTTCTGGAGGGCACAGACTTCTTTTTCTCTCAAAACTTTCCAGGGTAGCCACAGTTAGTTCTGTTTCCCTCCCATTTTAACACACACACAGAGACACTGCATTCAAGGCAGATATGAGAGTGTATGTCTGTGTGTGTGAGTTGCTCATGGAATTCTAAGCACCTTAGCTGATATTTCTCTATCCAGCAAATGTTAACTGATTAATTGATTTACTGGATTCAAATTTCAATGGTCCCTGAGATTCTCTGCTTGGCCAAGGTTTGAAAGTTCAGCCATTTACCATAAGTTATATGAAAAACTGAATTGCAAGCATTAAATACCTGGACACCTCGATCAGCCGTGGCAGGAGGGATGTGACTGCCTCGTTGTTGAGGCCTCTCAGCTCAGTAACCAGTTTGTTGAAGAGATTAGCTCTCTGGGCGTTCTGCTCAGAGTCAGACAGCTTTTTCAGTTCCTGCAGGGTCTTCAAGACGGCATCAGCCTGCTTCGGCAGTGATGTGGATTTGGTGCTCTCAAAGGCGAGACCCACCTTCTCAGCACCTGGGAGAAGGAAAGCGTCAAAGGAACTCTTGCCTACTTCTTCGTCTCGACCGTATCTTTGTCTGGTGGGAGTTGGAAATTGGGGAGGCATCGGCACAGGGGAAAGGAGAAGAAAACCATCCTGTACTCAAGCCTATTGGGTATTTTGCTCTGTGATGGGTGGTTGACTTAATTGTTCTCACTGACTGACTCATCATCCCATCCTTGTGGGTGAGCATCATTCCCTAATTTAAGGATAAGGGAACTGAGATCCGGAGATGAACAACTTACTTTGCCCGAGAACTCTCTGGGTCTAAGAGGCAGAGCTGGAATGGAACCCAGGCTTGTGTGGATCTGGTATCAGACCACCCTGTGCGTGAAAGAACTGGTGAGGCGGTGCTGCCGTTGGCAGGGTCACAGCTGAGGCGAGACGCGCTGGCACTCACTACCATTTCTCCTAACTGGTCTGTGGCAGCTTGTGGAGGGGGGAGGCCCTTTTACGTCCCCTGACCTATGTCAGGGAGGGGGGAAGTCAGCATGAAAGTGTGGTCCTGGTGTAGGTTAGACCTTGGTGCTCATTTGCCCCACCGCTAATATTCTGTGACCTTGGATACATCAAGGTCTAAGCCTCTCTATGTGTCATTTTCCCCTCTGCAGAATGGGTATAAAAGTGAATGTCTCTACCACCTGATCCCACAGGCTGCTGTGAATAAGAGAACAATGAGGTAATGCAGAGGAAAGAGTTCTGACGATTTAGACAGAAAACAATGCTAGGCTTGGCCTAGAGATCTCTAAAGCCCCTTCTACCTCTACAGACCGATTCCCGAGATTACTATCTGGCCTGGCCCGGAAGCCCCTCTCCCACCCACCCCACCTCATCTTGGCAGCTCCAGGCCTTATCATAGGATGTGTGATGTCAGTTTTACCAAAGTGAAACTCAGGATTTTAGTTTTTCTATTTACAAAAGCTGTGGAAACTTCTTCCTTTCCTTTATTCCATTGCGAGTTGACATTCTGAGACAAACATGCTTTCTCACTAGACATTGCCAGAACACCAGAGTCCCCTTCACTCATTAGTCAGCAGACATTTACTAGGACCCACCAAAGAGCGAAGCCATGATTGGCATGTCTTGAGCAGATTTCCCAGCAACTATGAGATGCAAAGTCTCACCTTCACCAAAGAAGCGGCTGTTGATCTTAGGCGTGTCTTCCAGTTTCAGAGTCTGGGTAATGTGTGCCATCATCCCATACTTATTCCTGGGAACAAAGGAAGCATATTCCTTTCATGTTTGATCTCTGCTTCTACCCAAATCTTGCCCACCTTTCCAAGCATGGTTATCCAGCCGTCCTCAGCCTCCTAATGATGAAAAGCACACGTCCCCTCCTGGTCGCTACTTATCCCTCCACCAGCAGGACACATGCACCTGGTACCGTCCACCATCTGGAGCGCCCAGAGGGTGGGGACTAACACTGTGCCTTGGAATTCTTTTGTATCTTCCACAGCATGGTGCCAAGAATATAGCAGTTACTCAATAAATTTTAGTTGATTGTCAGTTTTCAAAATGGATTTGTATCTACCAGTCTCCAGGCAAACTCCCCAATCCTCCATGAAGCCTTTTCTAACCAGGTCACCCTGCAATGATCTCTGGCTTTTCCAGATCTACAGCCCTCAAAGTTGGGATCTGAGGTATCTTTTGCTGGTCTTGAACGGTTTAGCATGACTAGGACTTTTCTCCCAAATTGCCCGTTAGCTTGAAAAGGGGGACAGGGATGGGCTCTGCTCTGTGTCCCTGCATAGCTCCT